TTAATGAAAGAGGGTTCACGGGTTTTGGTCGAATATCAACTCCTTGGTAGCATATGTAAACTACAATGGTTGTTCAGTACAAACCATCAAATCAGGCAGTTGGAATCCCAGGGATTGTATATGTGGTTCCCCGATCGTGGCCCGTTGAACCACAGAACAGGAGAACCATGGGACTCGCAGCAGCACTCGTCGCGACAATGGCCGCGATGAAAGGAGCGCCGCGCAGGGCGGTACATGGCTTCCACTTCCTGTCAGGGGCCGTGCATTTGACAGGTCTTTTGGTTTCCCTGACATGGTCATGTATGGTCATGTTGTGTACGTGCACGCATGCACGTGGGGATGAGGGGGGGAGGGTAGGCTGGGATATGAACGCCCCGTTTCGAGCGCACGTGAGTACAGTATAATAGTTTCGCTGGCGCATCTTAGCAGGAACTCGCGCTTACTGTGTTTCACTCGCACACACACACATGCAGTATTTGTATATACTGCATGTGAGTGCATGATTATACTTTCATTGCGCTTGCGCGCGTGTGTGGTAGCATGCACGTATACAGCGCACGACATACTCAAAGCGAATCGAAACGAGGATGTGATGCGCTTCCGACCCGCACTTCGTACGCCGCGCTACGCGCCTGACGCCGCGCGCCAGCGCGCCTTGATGCGCCGAGCGTGCGGACAGGTGAGCTGATGGACCGTAGCGGAACACCTCAATCGGACCTTTCGCGAGCAATCCTTGGACCTCTTAAACAACATATACAAGGCAAAACATCAACAATGGACACATGGAGCAGTTGCAAGAAACAGCAGCTTGAACCACAAACACTCGAAGGCACGGCCCTTTTCCGGCGCTCCCACCCTGTGATTGAGAGAGAGAGAGATCAGAGTGCAGTTTCTGTGAACATCTCTTTCCAGCAAAGACCGCTGGTCCAAACCTGTAGACCTTTCCAGGCTTCGCATGCTCAGGAGTCGCGGTGATCGCCGAGATGACCGGAGTCGCGGCGACCGACGCGACGACCGACGTGACGACCGACGGAGTCGGGGCGACCGACGGAGTCGGGGCGGTGGACGCAGCCGCGAGCGAGACCAAGATAGGCTGGGACGGTGGGGTGCCGGTCGCTTCAGCAAGGGCGGCAGACCTGGAAGATGAAACATGGATGTGATGCTTGAGTTTCGTGTGTCAGACACATGCGCCATTCGAAAGTTAGTTTGTGAGGGTCAGTGTGAGTGCCCCAGACTGAGAACTCACATGTGGATCTTGGATATACCGCCGACTTCCCATTGTTCCAAGAACAGATACAATTACTATATATTAATGAGAATATATATATATATTAACATTTAAAATCTATAGATCTATACAGTGAATTACCCTTACGTCCAGCTTTCTACTGGTTCAAGTTTGAAAGCTTTTGGAACTTTGGAGACACTCTCCAGGCAGACTGATCGAAAGTGTAAGCACTGAATTTTTCAGCTCGAACTTGTAGGAGGCAGTCTTTCTGTGGGCCGTTGTTGGTCGATGCCAACGTCTCTTTGAAAGGGAAATGTCAGGGTGTGAAGCACATAGAATCACACTGCCCAGAAATGGCTTTGCAACTGTAGGTTCATAGGCAACCGGTGGTTCTTGGAACAACGAACCATTAGCAAGCAGGCCAAGGGACCCCTGTTCCTTGCAAGACTTAGGGTTTGCATACTAAAAATCATTTAAAACACTAATCGAATTTCTGCCAGTACTAAACATTGGAAGTCATACCCCTAATGTTGACTCTTGATTAGTAATACCCTTTCCATGACATGTTGCAGGGTTCCAACACTAGGAGTCATTTCTTGCGAAGCTGGGTGTTGATGGTCCACCCGACCAGGCGGACTCGGGGCAGCGACGACGACCGGGCAGCTGGGGCCGCAGAACATGGTTGTAGAATGCTAATGCGGTATATATATATTATATATTATATTATGTATATACCAAGGGTTTTTCTAGGTTCCAGCGGTACTTACATGTTTGTTACATGCATGTGATCGAGAACACTGGAGCTTTGATTTGAGTTTTTGTTTCGTGGTTAGATAAAGCGCAACCTGATAAGGGTTCCGAGGTTCCTCATTTTGAAACATCAAGGTGCATGCAGGACTATGCTTATATCGATCACCATCCAATCTAAGGCTGCTGGATACAAAGTCGCCTAGTCGGTGAGTAGTTTATTGTTTGGGGCGTTGATGGGCGTTAGTATCTCCAAGAAACACCAGTAGATAACAGAACCATCCAGAACCTTCCAGTGGAAGAGATACCCCAAGAGAGGTTGAGAGATCTACTACCCTGCAGTGCTACATACTGGGATACCGTAGGCATCAGTCTGTAGGCTATAGGGCTGTTCAACCTCTCTAGGCCGGTCTAGAACCTCTTCAAAGGGCAGACCTCCCTTCTCCACGGCTCCCTTCGGACCAACTCCCACTACTATTGAATAGGTTGATTCATAGAGGGGATACCCCCTTGGCATACAATTCCAATAGGTCATCGATATGGTACCTGGCATGGACCCCTCTATGACTATGATGCCCTGAAGCGGACGGACATGATTGATTCCATCCCTGTGATCCGCCGAGGACCGTTACCGAAGCCGCGAACGACGCCGCGATTGACACCTGGCCCATGATGGAGAGAGGAGGAAGCCCAGTTGTGTGGAGTAGTTTAAGGCTTTGGTTTTGGTTTTGCTTAGGGTGATTTTTATGTTCCCGATGCGTGAATCCCCTTTTGGTGTGTTATGTTGTTTTTTCTCGGCTCCTTAAGCAAGTCCAAGTGGTTGACCCCCTTTCAAGGAGGATCCGGAGTTGTGCGATGTAGCATCCATTGGCCGAGTTCAATCCTGACCGACGTGCATCGAGAAATCAGGTCAGTGGTTCACTACTTATTTCAGAGTAATTACTGTAGATGCAGTTTGACCCTCAATCATGCGGGATCATTTGAACAACTTGGTCACGTTCAGGCTCTTGGCATATCAATCCCAAGATATCCCAAGTCTTTGTGTGTGTATTGTGTGTGTGTTTGTTTTTGTTGTGGGGGGGTTGTCAGAACTTGTTTTTTGATGATTGTTTTGCCAAGAGATGCCAAGAGTCCTTTGCCGGGGCTTCTTCCGGAAATGACATACAAACCGTTGAGCAGCTGAGAGCGCTGCTCAGCTGCCATAGCGAACGGACATGTGTTCAACTCTTTGGCTGAGCCGATGGCGCTGGTCTATTTCATTGCTTCATAGGCGTGTGCCCACCTCTTCCCATGTTCTTCCGTGAAAGCAAGGTGACAGATGGGTAATTTGTTCAAATACATGAAAGCCTGCCATATCTTCCAAAATTCCTCCCACTGAAGGGAAAGGGACATCCAGTTTTTCCATACGAGTCCAATTCTTTGCTGGCTTGAAACCCGGAACAACTTGCTGGGAAGTTCATAAGAAGACTGCCTTGGGAGTACACCTACCTGTCTCCACCATGGGTACCATGATGTACTCCTACACTCCCACTTTTCAATAGGAACCTTTGGTGTTGGACTCCCAACTTGCTGAATCATATCTCAATGTTGAAGCATTGGTTGTGGCAGTCTTCGTTGGGCTTTTGCGGGGGATTGTAGTCGCGTGTGTTCTTCCGTGGGTCTTGGTTCAGCTTTGGTAGGCTGAAGCAAGTCACGAACGATAGAAACATCATTAACTATGTGAGAACCGGTTCTGATAAGCAGTGTTGTTTCAGAATAATGATGTATTTGTTTGACTGCAGCTTAGTAAGGCTTGGTAAGGAATGAGGGAATGTAATGGATCCAAAGGAATCTCTCTTGGGTGGGAAACTTCCCGACTTTTTCTTACTACGACCGCCTTTCCACCCGTCACTTGTTTGTTCGTTTGTTCCAGCTGAACTCTCTTCTCCAAAGCATCTGTGATAGAACGGAACAACTTCTACATAGAAACCATCGCTGTTTTCTTCGTCTCAGGAACCAAAGCTCTGAGATGTGAAAGACCCGAGAAGAAGTGCCGATGAAAAGAGTTGAAGCACAGCACTTGGCACGAGAAAACCCGTGTCTCTCGTGTTCTTGAGAGGGTGAAGCCTTGTGACACCTGTGTAGTTGAAACGTGTTGAAACCCTCTTTCAGTGAGCTTGTTTGAAAGCCCAAGAAGTTGGTGTAGTTGATATGGGTGTGTATTTCAAATGGAAGACCCCCAACCAATTGGTTTTGGATGGTTTGGGTCTATATATATATACAGTATATATAGTTTTGGGGGTGAAACACGGAGGTCTCCCTGTTTGAATACATACCCATCAGATCCCATAAGTAGTTGATGTGCTTCTTGATTCATTGATTCCTCATGAGTCAACCACCCATCGTTCCTGCCACCTTCAAAAGCGTTGGAATGAAGGCGATCCCTGAGAGACACATGGAGCTCTTGGCTTCCGGCTTGGGGCGACCCCTTCACATGAACCATCGAGCTGGGTGTGCTTTCGGGGTGTCCCATGCGGATCCACTCACGGTCGATGGGTTTCAGAACCGGACGGTCGATTCATGGAACGTCATCGGATGCCGATCGGTGAGGTGTGGGGCCCCTGGTCTCGGAGTGCGGCCGAGATATGCGGTAGCTTGGAGCACCGGGAGACGGAATTCCCTTAGGAACCTTGTGCCACCTTGAAGTGTGGTATTTATATAGGTTGATTCCCTCGTTTCTTGAACTTGGGTATAATTGTTACTGTGAACTCCAGTTTATCAACTTGTACGACCTTATAGAATTACCGAGACATACCCAGACTATGCATAGAAATGCGATATTCACCTACCTTGGAATGGTTGAAAAAGGATGTCAATATTTCGGTGAAGCTTACATGGATTTGCTGGGTATTAGTATGGTGTATTATGTGGCTTGTGCCACAAAAACAACGACAGGTTGCTTGCTGCTTGATTTGCTTTTTGTTGGAAAACTTTTGTCCAACCGTCACCACCATCCCAACTCCAGGCCACTCGGCCCCGTCTCCAGGATGATTTCAAAGCGGGCTATCGCAGGAACCTGCCCTACGCCATGAAGCACAAGGAGGAGCCACTGACGAGATCAGATTCGCACCAGCCTTTCGACCGAGATATGGTCGCCTCATGAGATTTCGGACGTGGATCAGTGCGATGGTGAAAGGGCGTCAGGGGATGGTGGGATTCGAAGACCCTTGGATCTGAGCGTTATTTTTTGGGGAGCCATGTTGGCGACTATAGCTAACAATGGGAAATCCCTTTGTTTGTCCATGCGGCTGCAGAAAATACCAGTGCAGGACTACCTCCTATTCTGGGCTGACGAGCACACGCACTTCAACTATGCCATGCAGTGGTTCTTGGCTTAGTTGCAAGCTTCCTTATCGGGTCAGCATGCTGAGTGTTTGAAAGGATGCCCGATATTGCTAGCATGTCTTTTGTTGAGCGGCTCCTTCCCATTTCTACAACCGGGAACACCGACATGGAATCTGAAACAAAGGCATTATCACAAAGCAGAATTAGTTAATCGGTCTGGGTTCAACGTTTATTTGTGGATGCATGTTTATCCGCATTTCTGCATGAACATGCTTCCTTCTGCAAGCACTGCCATGGCCCCTTTGCTTGAGGTTTGGCATGGGCACGCTCTTTATGGCAGTGACCTTAAAAGACCGTCATGTCGCAAGGTCCAGCCTTGAAGCGATTGAGGTGTACTCCGCGAAGACAGGTGAACCAGGTTCTGCTTGTTTGCAGACCTCAGAAGGAGCTCACGCTGTGAATACAAGCAGGTCTATCATGAGGTCGACCTCGAAGGAGCTCCCGTTGAATTCAGAAATCCACTCCAAAGTGAAGAAGCGCATCATGGCACGTCTTGTACATCGAGGGAGCCGTTAAAGAGAGATGTGATTCGACGTGTTTTCTGTAATGTGTGCTGCAGCAAGAATCATCAACCCCAGGAGCTAGATAGCATGACTCAAGACTTACTGTCCCAAAGACTTCATGCAGATGAAGCCTCGGTTCTAATGACTGGGTTTGAGCCTTCTCTTGCAAGGTCATGACCTTGTACAAGTTTGTGGAAGTCTACAGGCGGCATGTGACAGTTCTGCACGCCGAAGGTTTCCTGCGAAGCTTATGGATCGATCATCATCACCGTCGAATGGACCGACAATACGGTTGCACTTGCGTCGCCTATACGCGTCGCTTACGCATGGGTTGTTGGCGGCCGTCCATGGGTTGTTGGCGGCCGTCCTCCCATCAGGGGATGTCTCTGATCTTTTCCACACACATCCCTGGTGAAGAAAGGAATCCGGGGGATGGGCCACGATGCACTATACGGCTTAAGACATACGAGGTGTGTGTTTTTCCACAAATCAAGGGTTAAACTATATATATTTGGTCATCGCTGATGCCATCCGAGTTGGTACACCTAAGCCTTCAAAGTTACTGGAGCTTCAAAGACTAAGTTACTTCTACTTCGTGGCGGATAGGATCGATCGTTTCTTGGGTCCAAACAAAAAAGCCTGAAGATACTGTTATTTAGAACATCCAAGGGGTGGCTCATTGACCTGTCGATTGGACATGCCAGGCATGGGAGTGGTCGTGGGAGTGGCAGATTCACCTGACCCCTATGACTGGGAGTGGCAGATTCGCCCTTGAGAATCGGATCTCAGGTGTACATCGCGAGTCAAGCGCAATGTTTTCTGTGCGGATGAAGCAGAGAGTGCGTGGAGCGCCGGTTGCATCGATCGGTCAGAGCTGGGCTGCTTGCTCCTAGCTGGAGATGGTGGTGGAATTGGAGTTGCTGAAGTGTGAGTTCAAACATGCAAGATTGCAGAGATAAAGCTCTGCGGCGCTTTGTGCAGAAAGCAAAATCATATATAATTGACTCATTTCTTGATAGCTTCGCCACCGTGTTGTTCTTCTGCGACCGGCACATGGCTTTGTAATGAACGGACAGAGTCAAGGCATATGCGATCAGTCATTGCCAGCCCTTGTGGCTTGGGCAATTTCGGTGTCCAACCTGTTGCAACCAACCAACTCGCGCTGCGTTGGATGCGCTCACGAGCCAACATTGAAGTCTTGCCGTCGTTGGATGCTTTGGAGCCCTCACGAGCCAATTCTACGGCCGGAATCCGTCACACCTTGCGTGTGGAACACCGATGAACACCGCCCAGTGCCTGGTGGAAGCGTGGAACGCAGCTGGTCGAAAGAAGATCGCCACAGAGACCATTCACGTTCAACGTCCAATCCTCAGCACCGGGAGGGGTATTCCCTGTAGGGTCCTGGGAATCCAGGAGGCTTGTGGCCCACTACAGACTCTTGCGGCTCTTGGTTTTGCTGCAGATGGTGGGAAGGTTGTCCTTCTTTTTGCACAGACAATCTTCCAAAGTTTCTTGTTTTCAAGCCTCATGCGGATTTCGTCATTTCGTCGAGGGTCAGCTATGCCTGCTATGCCTGCAGCAAGAGGATGAGCAAGATGACGGCAGCGCTTTTCCGAAAGCGCAACGCGCTGCCTTCACAAACCACGACGCGTGGGCTCTTGACGCGTCGTCGGACTACTGTTCCGGAGCACATCCCAGTTGGCAGTCTCTTGCCAAGCGACTACTGTAACCTTACGCATCCTTACGCCTTTCGTCAGAAACCTTAAGAAGTTCAAAGGACATGGGGGGAAACGTTCTCTCTCCATTTTATCCCATTCCCAGTTTTCGCTTGCCTAGGTTGTTGAACAGGCGATGTGCAGGCATGTGCTTCAACACCGCAGCCGCAACACCGCGGCTGTTTGCAGCCCTGATGAGTCTCAAGGGTGGCGAAGTGGCAGGCATGTTGTACTTCCAGTTGCACGTCGGTCTGAAACAGCTGCGTCTCATCGGTCTGAATAAGCGACTTCTGAAAGCAAGCCAGAAAAACACAATGGACCAGTGAACGAAGCGTTGGCCCATTGGTTTTGAAATGTGTGGACTCCAGAAATGATCATCCCAGCCCAAAAACCAACGTGCTTGGCTGTCTATGTTCATCCTTTGCTGTTACATGACGAAAATAACTTTTGTTTTGAGAGGTTGTCCACGACTTGTTTGTTTGTTTGTTTTTTCCTCCATGACTTAAGATCGGTGTTTCAGTTCTGCGTGTTTTCTTTGTCAATATTGCAGCTGGTATTAATGCTGTGACATCGATGACACATGCTGTGATGTCGAGAACACTTTAAACGTGAAATTGATATCAGTCATGAGTCATGACAAGCTATAAAGCAACAACGGCTGCCATGTCGCTGACAATGTTGTGAAATCGACGACAATGTTGCGAGCCGGTGATAATGTGAAAGGACTGTCAATGTTGGGGACCTGCTGATGATGCCGCCGCCAGCCCCCACCCCACCACACCAATTTGATCACACGACGATGACAGTGTTGTTTGTGACAATGTTGCCGTATGGACCCTAGATATCCCAACACCACTGCCTTGTACAGGAACACTATGGAACACGGTTCTTCTTCGCAAATTTTGAAGCAGATATCCTCTTTTTTCCAAAGCATGCAACCAGCCCAAACGATCTCCGTCTGTACAAGACCCTTCCGGAGGTTCCTCAACAGTACCTCTACCACTTCTACAGAACTTCTGCTGCTCGACCGAGACGCTCCACCACCCTGACAGGTGGCGTTTCTGAGCGCGAGCGCGCCGCTCGCGCTGGTGAGTTCCGCCGCTCCGAAGCTCCAAAGGGAGCGAAGAGGAGTGCGTGAGGTGCTGCGAAAAGTGATCTGGGGATTGGTCAAGGCCTGGAGCTTTGGTCCACCATGGAGCTTGACCTGTAGCTCAACCAAGGTATCCTGCCTTTGGCCTGTATAACTCCCTCAGTGACCGTTCATTGCACGGCATATGCTGGTCGATTAGTGGCATAGCAAGACGTTTCGACGGCCAGTTTGGTCAAGTCAATTTCGTTGGGTAGGGAAGTACACTCACGTGATTTATAAGATGGAACATGATAATCCCCTCAGCACGCTATTGGCCATTGATCCGCAAAGTTGTTTGTAACCAGGTGGTTCCAAAACCCAGAGCTGGCTGCTCATCGACTGATCATTGAAATCCACGGGGCTAAGCGGGCTATATAAATGTTTACAATCATGGTTTTGGCATGTTTGTTTAACCTGCACTGTATTTTTGCAATGCAAGTTGGTCATCGGCGAAGGATTGCGTGTTGTTCTGCATGGAAATACTTGTAGTTGTTTGGGTAGTACATTGCCTGGGGGGTTGCTTCGCCAAACCAACATCGCAACCCACTTATGGCCGATGGTTTTCCTCTTGTCAAGCTGATGTTCCGTCTATAGTGTTTAGGAGGATAAGTGGGGACGGTCCTCTTTGTGATATATATATCTGTCGGGCTTCGGAGTAACCCACATGAACGCTGACCAAGTCGTGTGTAGCACGACTTGGTTGCTGACGCAAGGAATCTTGGTTCTCGCACAGGAGCAACCGAAAGAGTTTGCACAATGGTTGCAAGGGAAAAAGGATAAAATAGCCAAGTCACCGTCCTGGTCACCAGTCACCGTTTCTTCTTGCAAAGGATAGACTGAATGACTGGACCATGGTCAACCAACACCCCGCATGCCGTCGCTGAGTACGCGATGAGAAGAATCCAATAGCCAATAGCGACCTAACATTTGGCACCAAATTGCCACCCGATCCCTCACATAATAAGGGTGTTTGATGACGGTTATGCTGTTTGTCATACATTCCTCATGGTGCTACCAAAACCTTTTCTCTTGAACTCTTGTGTTTGCAGATCAAATCAGGCAGAGTGCATGGGTGGGTCAGAGCAAAACAAAGACACGCCAGACGAGTTCGTACGCCAACACCCCGCATGCCGTGACGCGGACGTCCCCGACTCCTGCATGGAGCCACAAGCAGGTGGGAGCAGCAAGAAAGGTGAGGGGAGAATCCGGGACGCAGAAAGGAGCAGCCAAAACCGTGTCATTTTGGTATAAGAAGCATAGCAAAGACTTGGTTCTGTGGATCGGGTGGATTCCTCATTTTTTTCCTAATGATGGGGCCATCATCCCCGATAATGGTGAAGATGTTCTAAGTGTCGGTTTGCGGACAGCAAATCCATGAAGCAATATGATCCAACATCCAGTAGTGAGTCTTTTTGACATCATTTAAACACTGAAACCAAGTGCTCAAGCGCCAAGGCCATGTTCATTCTGTGCTTATCTCCAGTCAGATGTTAAGTGGGCAAGGCAGAGCGGCAAACATGTTGCGGCAATTGGAGCTTGCTTAATCCATGGGGGTTGGACAGAAAGGCACCCCGACGTTACTGAGACATGGATGAGCTTTGCAAGAGTGTTAAAGTCCCTTGACTGATTGGTTGAGACGAACCAACAATTCACTTGGAAATCAAGAGTCCAAGTCCAAGTACAAGATTTGTACCAATAACATTTGACACAGATCCCCACCCAGTCAGTGCATCACCTGCCATGGTTCACCGAAATATGTTCAAGTGAGAAAACCTTATCAATCATAGTGATTCAGGGAATCAACTGAGCTTCAAAAAAGAAGGTGGAAGCAGTGCTGAAGTTGGGGTCCCAGAGATCCCAAAGCCAGTTTCACCATGGATAAAGAAGAATCTTTACATACACAGTACCACAGATTGATATCATATTGATACCAAACCCTTGATAAAAGAGGAAGAGAAACAAAATCCACACGGTCACGCTCTTTTGGTTATGGCAAAGAAATGCAAAGAAAAAAGCACACACATACACACATATAGAGTATATATATATATATGTGTGTTTTGTAACGACCCAGGACACCTCGTGCCGGCCTTCATGGGTTGATCCTATACTTGCACACTTGCACTGTAAGGTCAAAGGTTATCAGCTTCAACCATGGGCGTGCACCATCAGACATATCCATTTCCCGTGAACTCCCGGTGAACTCCGTTGCCAAGTCGCTGCCAAGAAAGTCTGCCAGAGTCGCTGTCAAAGGGCGGACAGCTAAGAGTCACTGGCTGGCAACCCCAGTTGGCAAAATCTTTGCAAAAGGATTGGGGATCAAAGGCCCAACCTCACCCCCCACTTCCTTTTGCCATATGACCCTGGGTCCCTGGATGTGCTTTCACGCGCCCGCGGACCGTGCCCCCGCCCACGACTTCGGCAGGCGAACGGCCAAGTTCACCCTACCGGACACGCTGCGAGGCGGCGGAGGCAGCCGAAGCGAAGTGGATGGGTGGATGAGGAGAGGCAATGATGGATTTGCAAGTGGAAAGTACTTCAGGTTACACTTTCAATACTGAAAACCACCATGAAAAACGATTAAGAACGGAACTGGCAGGAACTGGAGGCTTCGGGTTGCTTTCAATCACCGAAAAGAACTGCAGTGAAGAATGCCACGAGATCAGAGGCTTGACTTACTCTCTCATTGATTGGAGGTGTGTGCCGGAAATAGTGCTCAGCAGTTATACAGGCAATACAGCAAGAACTGCGGTCAGGGCCTCTCCGTCATATTGGCTCGGAATCTGCCTACTGCTGTAATGCCGGACCGCGTTCAGCAGGAGAGCTCGTGGGTGATATACAGTGAACATTGGGACCTTTTCAGTCCATATGAACAGGGGGACCCTCTTTTCGTGCGGTCGGGGTGAAACAAGCCGAACAAGCGAATTTGGGGCACCAGGTGCTGGCAGGGCACACCGTGGCGCGGCAAGCACTGAACATCATTGGCTTGTCACGGGGAATCGCCATGTTGGTTCGCGCCGAACAGGAGGATCCAGTTGGGCCTGTCGTCCCCTTCCCAGGATCCAAAACAGGGCAACCTGCCCCTTTTGATCGATGGAATAATGAGTGGAACCTGCGGGCCTGTAGACTTGGTGGGACGAAGTTGGGAACGCCACTTGCTGCACTGTTTGACCTTTGGTCAGGTGGCTCAGCGCAAAGACCCTGTGGTTTGGCGCAACGGTCTGCGTGCCGCGGGCGCGGCACCACTGTGTGATGTTGAGCTGGGAGACTCAAAGTATGCTCTCCACCTGCCCTGTAGACGAAGATGGACACTGGTTGGGTAACCAGAATAGGAACCTGTTGTATCATGTTGTATCAATGACTATGAATCTTCATGAGGCGCCTCGTGGGGAGGCGGAAGAAAAGAACGACACAAAACCAGGCAAAGCCCTCAAAACAACATGTCAGCCATCTCAGAATCAAGTTGAATCCTTCGGAATCCTTGAAGAAAAAAACCAAAAGGAAGAAGGCCACTGGACAGGGATGGTTTTCTCGAATACCAAGGGATAGGATCCATCATGAGCCTCTGAAACAGAAACACGTGGTTGGCGTCTGCCACGTGGTTGACGAAGACGGCAGGGTTTGGGTTTGACTGCGCCCGTTTGTGGTTTGTGGCTCTTGAAACGGTCCTAGCTGAAGTGGAAGTGGTCAACTGGCAGACCTGCCCCTTCCTATTGACCACTATATAACTGTCGTAACTGTGTGCGTCTGAAAGGGGGCTGCAGTTCTTTGAAAGGCAAAGTAAATGTGAAGACGACACAACCAAAAATTACAAGGGCAGCAATTCCAGCAAGTTGATCAAAAGTTCTGAAAGTGTTAAACGCGGTGGTTACAGTGCAAGAACTACCTTTGGTTTGCAACATGCAACATGACTGGGAACACTGGAGAATGTTTTGACAGATCTCACTGAAGTCTGGGTTAAAGTTAAAGAGCTGGATGAGCCAGGAGCCATCAGAAGCCTAGGAGTTGGTGAGCCTGGTGATAGCTCTTTTTCTGTGGTTTTGAGTTTTGTCACACAAAAGTCGTTGCAGACCAACGCGTCATCACCTTGTAGACTAACGGTCTGGGCACGTGGCACCTATTTGGGACTCCCTCAACTGGCAACAAAAAAGACGGCCCGGGGTGTCAATATGTGCCAATTGACTTCAATGTCTTTAACATATTGAAGTTTTAACCATCTTTGATCGTTTAAAGAAAGGTTTGACCAATTGACTTCATGGTTTAACCATCTTTGATATCATTTTTGAGAAAGCGATCGGGCTCCGTCTGAGTTGGTGCGTACTTCAGGATGGTCCGTACTTCAGGGGTTCTCCTCTTCACATCGGCGTAGCAGACTGACGTGTTGGCCAGGCGTGTGAAGAACCCTGAAGAGGAAGAACCCCTTGGTCCTCCAAGGGTCCCAGAGTATACTGTATCCCAGCAACTGAAGCTTAGATTCTCCACTTGAGAAGGATGGGTGCATGCGTGCATGTCGTGGAATGACCCACCTTTTTGATAGGGTGGTTGGCATGTTGCCCCTTGGGAACCCTGTTCCAGATTGCGAGGGGCCAGGAATCACCCAGTCAGTGTCCAGCAAACATGTGGGAGTGAGGCTGGACACTTATGAGGAGGAAGGTTTCTACCTCATGCGTGGGCTGATCCCCAAGGAGAAGCTGGAGGTGCCGATCTTGAATCGATTTGTCGCACCGAGACCGAGAACGCCAGCGGCGGATGGTTTAGGCCAAAACATGCCAAAACCATCCGTTGAAGAGGATTAGAGCTGCAAGAAGAACTGCATCAGATCTGATGTTCTTTCAACCAACAACGCCAAATACATGATCTGACCATACCTTTGCACACTTGGCCATGTTGGTCATTCTGAAGCAAACGGCTTCAGTCAGGGCAGCACTCTCTCGGTTCCTGTCAATGATTCACGTATGCACATTTTACCCATCCACATTCTGCTTTATCCTTGTAGTGTTCGATTGGACAGATGCCACCCTTTGGGAAAGAATTTATTTGGGTTCCAGGATTCCAGTCCAAGAATAGCAATCGCTCCGTTAGCATGGGGCCTTCGAATCTCGCTTTCGACTTTTACTTTGGGAGGGACGTGCTCCTTGTTCTGATATTGACTGAATTGTATGCCGCTTTATGCGGTCAAGCCGCATGGAAGTGAAACATGGCCTCTTGGAAGACTGTTTTCTTCTACAAACCGGTGGTTTTCCACTTCCATGATTGTTTCAGGGAGAGTGTATTATATATATTATATATTATTGTGTTCAGGCGACTCAGGTATCGCTTGGACTGCTTAGTGTTCAAGACCTTAGAGCCACTTGGTGTTCCTGGCTGAGATATTGCAGACTTCCAAAAACATATGTTGTAAAGCATATCATGGATGGCATGGGCTGTTGCAAACCACTTGTTTCTTTTTGTACACTTCCAAATTTCTTGCCTTGCAGCCTTGTCCAAACAGAGTTCAAATCAAAGTTCTCACTGGCGCCTGTGAGGCCTGCAAGCAATACATAGATTCTTTCAGCAACCAGGAGCAGATGAAGGCAGGAGCAGGTTAAAGGCAGTTCAGCCGCCTGTTGAAGGAAGACCTCCTGCACTAACTACTTGGGAACGGGAAAGCTGCAGCATTACCAAGGTGTGTGAACCATCAGTAGGTATTTTTGTTCAGAGATCCGCCATGGTTCACCCCAATAGATTGTAGAGCATCACATGTGCTCATACATCTCTTGCTCGGTTCACCATGGCACGATGGCTTCGGGCCGTGTGCTTTTCCCCCCAGGCATGGTGACACCATGCCATCCTCGGGCCGAGTCGACGAAGAACAGATCCACCATGTCTGCAAGTCGGAATCTGAATGAGGTAAAGGACCAGGTTCTACTAGGTCTTTGCGCCTGTTGGAGTAGGTCATTACCAGGTTCCAAAGACTGCAAACCATAGACCATACAGTGAATTACAATAGAATCCCCGATGGTACTGTATACGACTGGGCTTCACTGAGAACTGCTTGGGCACATCCCAACAAAACACTTGTGGCCAGCCAGGTCACCGACCAAAGTCGTTTGGTGACAGAAGCCAACTCCGCCGTGTTGCGCAGCATCTTTGCTGTGCATGAGGACAGGAGAAGCCGGTTGCGCCGCAGATGTCGTGCTTTTGTGGAGACAACCAGACACTCCTTGTCCTTGTATGGCATATTTGGCTATATGATGCTATATGTTTTTTTTTTTTTTTTAAGGGGTCAATGTAGTTGGACCACGTGCCACAGATAGCCATAGTGTTTTCTTAATTTTTCATGTTTGTTGCGTCGTTTTTGCTCCCCACACACACACACACATGTTGGAAGATGGGGGATGAGGATGGGTGGGGGGTAATGAAGTTGTGGTTTTCAAGCATCATTTGATTGTGGGTTTCAACACTCATTTCTCGACGGGGGTAGTGAGGTTTTACTGGTTTCTTTCGCATGAGGGAGTTGTGTCTGAACAGTTTGGTTTCCCTTTGTTTAGTGTTACTGTTGAGACTTTCTGACAATTGATACATCTTGGAGCTTTCAAAGAGTTTCTAGCCCCAATAGCGCCAATGTCCGGGATGACCAAAATGAGGATGGCCACTGGCTGCTAAATCCCTTACTGAAGCAAAAGTGCTTCGAGTGGAGATGGAGACAGAGCATGCATGTTTTTGCAAAACGCCAAATGAATTGCACCACGTGAGTGTGAATCACCAGAATGAGGCAGGGCCGGAAGAAAGCACCAGGGCTCTGCAAGAACGCCGGCCATCAACAGTTGTTGGCATTCGCACAAGTGATCATCTCCTCGAAAGATTGGAAAGGGCAAGGTAAGCAGGGCGCACTGAGCCTTTCGCCTGATTGTGCAGCAGTTCATGTGGCGCAGATCCCCTGGCCAGCCGACAAGCCAATGGTCCTCCTTGATGAACACTACACGTGGCTTCGCCCACTTTCAGAGGGAGAAATTCCTCACCATTGGCTTGCGGATTCTTCTCTTCCCCCGAGGGCTGCTCTTCAGGGCGCGGCCAAAAAAAGTGCCAATTAATCACTCACTTCCACCGTGATGACTCCCTCTGTTCACCCGAAATCTTCACTGCCGGAGTGTTTGGGCCTGTGTTGGTCAACCAATGTTGCAAGTTGCAAGTCAAAAGACATCAAGAAACTAATTTACTTTTTCAAGGAGTGATCTAGACTTAGCAGTCTTGAGGCTGCATTGCAATGAGTGTGGCTGGAATTGAATATGTGTTCTGATCGTGTTTTAGGGTTCCTCCCAGCTGTTCAAAGCGAATGACAAGGTCTACAGAGAGACAGAGACACAGAGAAAGAGAGAGAGAGAGAAAGAAAAATAACAGTCCTCTTTAGAACTATAGAATTTACTTGCATGAATGAACTTACATATGTTTGCACGGCGCAAATACAGTAACAAGGTTTGAGAGCAGCCTGTGTTCCATGACGTTTCGTTCCATTGGGCAAACGAAAGGCATCGAAAAACGTCGGGCCACATGCTCACATCCATCCTGCGCGGAGGACGACGGCCCTTTGGGAGAACTGGCAAAGTCGAAAGTTTTCATTGAGGCCGGAGCTACAGTTTGAGACCTGGTTGGCGTTTGTGTGACACAAAACAATTGAATTTATTTGTATTCATGGCTCTTGCTTGGACCAAAAATGACGATGCGATGAACCATGAGTGGGTGTTGATGTTCATGTTCATCAATGATCAGCGTGCCATATACCAGCAACCGGCTTTGCATGTTTCTGGAATGGTTTGGTTTCCCAGTCCCAATATTTTCCCACAAACAGGTTGGTGAACAAATCCTGCTATAAATGACGACTGAACATGTTTGCGATATCATCATGTATGACCAATGTGTGGTATGTTGATGATCGTGATGTTAATGTAGATTTGTCAAACACAACGGAGGGACACCCAAGTTCCATTGGGTGTTCATGTTTGTATATGTTTGTATTTGTTGCTAGGTTTGAACATGAGATGGCAAACCTGTGATTTGCAATGTAGGGAGTCCCCAAGTATTTAGTGTTGACGAATTATTGTCTATATTTGGATTGTCCATACTGTGACAGACAACCCATCGCTGCTCTATTGACCCACATCGCATCTATTCCGCACAGAAACCTCCTGGTCAAGCCTTGATGAAATTGGTGTCAAAAGATGTCAACAAAAACATTCACAGAGCATGTGAGTTGAAGGTGGCCATGCCATGGCTCTCCTGCAAGGACGCACGGAATTCTACTAGATCCCCATTGTCCGAATCAACCAACTTTTAGTTCCGTGCTTGGAGCTTCAGAAACTGCGACATGATCAGGAGAGGTTTTGCATTCGCACGCTCAGCTGCCTTTCCAAAACGGCTTGGATGACCCGCAGATTCTGCCCAGGTGGTCCAGCAGATTCTGAACGATGATGTCTACGTGCATCAGCCACTCGTGATCGGTACTCACTCGCACGAGTCGTTTGCGAGTGATTCGCCGTGAGGATGGGACCTGACGTGAGGAGAGTTTTTTGTGTCCGGTTTTTGAGATACCCAGGTCATTTCAAGCTGGCACCGGCTTCATATCATGATTCATCACGTTTTATGTGTGCTTTTAAATCAACACCATTTTTGGTGGGTCCCTCCCTCATGGTCTAAGATCCATTTTTTTTCGTGAGGCGACGTCGGATTTTTGGAGACGTGGGGCGACGCGTGGCGCAGACGTCGACGTAGACGTGCTCGTCGGAGCGAAGAAGCGTCTCATCTCACATGTGATGCACTGAACAATGATCCTACTATATAGGTCCCATAGCGGTTTCAGAGTAGATGGTGCTGGCGCCCCAAGATGACACTTAGATAGGCATACAAACTACCGAACTTGGGGATTGTGCCTACTCTCAATCCACTATAATGGGTGTGGGTTTGGCACCTGGCTACCTGGGTTGACCAGAGAACATGAACAGAAGAGACGACCTACAGGAGGTCAACCTATCCTGGTGAAAGGGGCTTCGAGTGCCATGACCTACAGTTCTACAGCCAAAATGACCACATAAGCACAGATCTTAGACCACGAAGGCTGGTTTTTTCCAACAGCCACAGGTGTGAAGCGGCCACCTAGCTGCTGATGTTTGATGATGTTTGCACACGACCGGAGTCTGTTTGGGCCACCAGTTTGGGCGTTTGGCAACTCCGAATTCGTGGAGCATTCTGCTTTGCCTAATGTGGAAAAAAAGAAGTGAAGCCATCCCCGCTACTAGGAACAAGGGCATCGCTACTAGTAGCAAGAAGCTACTATCTCCTGGCAGTACCTCTAGCAGCATTATCGCTACTAGTAACTAGTAGCAAAGGGCATCGCCGGCATCGCCTTTCTCCGCCGCCAGTAGCTTCGCCATCGGATTTCCACGACTCAGGTCGCGGGTGAATTTGCAAGCGCCCTTCAAGGGCACCGGCTTCTCGTGGCACAGCGACCTGGCCGACCTCCGGGCGACCGACCGAATGGCGCGGGGTAGGACCTCTCTAGTGGTCTATTCGATTCTGTTTCGGGTCAACCAGGTTTTGGCCATTCCAGATCGATGCTTCGCCATTCCATCGATGATGAACTGCAATTCCAGACGATTTGTGCAAACGCCGTGTCCTTTTCTGACGAACTCCGGATGATCTCAGCATATCTCAGCTATGATATGTTGACATGGAAATTCAAACGTCGCCTCCGCGATGCATACAATGCTAATCAATATCTCAATGAAATTCAGATTCCACAGTGACAAATGTGACAACTTATTACTGCTTAACTCCTTTCGTGTTTTCGTTCTGGTGGTGGTGGTGGCGGCGGTGGTGGTTTGGTGTTTTTGCCTTGTTCTGGCGCTTTCTGTTTCCTGTTTTTACGGGATCTTAGCGAAAGGGTGCATGTTCATATTTACATGATTTACATATGGGTCATACAAACCAACACCCCGGTACCCCGGTTTTGACATGAAGGGCTGGGACTCGCGACTCGTGGCGACTCGCGATCGGAGGTCGGGTCCGTTTTGACCCACAGCCATGTGTGTGGAGGTGGATCAGGTCAATCAGATCACGACATGTCCAGACTGCCACCTGTGTTGTTAAAACAGCTTGTCCGTTGTTGTGCTGTGCACATGGGACTGAACGGTCCAAAGAACGCCATTGGGAGCCGGCGTTCTAGAGTGCGAAAGACGATTTTGATGGTTGTTCCACGTTGTTCCCAAGATCTGTAGATCGGTACGACTTTCTAGAACCCATAGACTCGATGACACGGGCCCTGCTCAAAGAGCAGGGGTTTCGTAGGTGGAAATACTGGGATCACTTGGGCGTCCCTCAGTGGTATCGGTATGTGCCATCGACCTGGGACCTGGTGTTCAGATCTGGAAGTTGGCCACCGGCCAAATGGGTTTTCCTAAACCGCCATGTCTGAAGACCTGTGGGGGGGAAGTGGGCGATCCCTTCCCAAGAGGGGAGCTCGATTTCAAGAGACGATGCAACTTGAACCTTGTAAAATTGTGCTGAGGCGATTTTGAAACCTGGCATGCAGAGGACGGAATGCCACGACCGCGCAGCCTGTCAGCGGTCATCTTCCTGGACAAGAATGCCGCTCAGTCAGATCCTGACGATCGACTTACAGAAGTGGCCAGAGTAATTGATGAATCGAGGCCATGCAAAACCCATGAACACCCCTTCACTGCACCTAACAAGTTCAAAGACGTCCACGGTAGCCATTGTTTGGCCACCCAAAGAAAGCAACACTTGGTGGATTTGCCATGACCGTCCAAGCACAAGGACCCACTTCAACAGCCCCAGTACAGCACAAATGCCGCAGCCAAGGCAGAGTACAACGGTGCCTTGATGGTCATCCCAGGCTCTCACCGCAGCTACTTGCGCTGCCCGGGCCGACAAACGGCTGCCAACTGGGAGAAGTCCTTGCAGTCCCAGGTACCTTCGGACACGCCGTGTCCGCGCGGCTCCGTGTCCGCATGTGTGCGCACATGCGTCATTCTGCAAGCAAAAGATACCAAAACAATATGTTTTTGCGAGCTCCACCCAAAGGGGAGGTTATTCGATGGAAAGTACATAGTTTATATATTTGTTTTTAAATAATCATAGTCAGGGTTGTTTGTAGACCACGCTTTGGGTGGCTGGTGAGAGTGTTTTTCATTGTTAATTTTGCAACTGATGCTTCAATCGAAGCTCGGTCATACCGGCTTTCCCTAAAAAATGGAGCTTCCTTGAAGAAGCATGAACTATCCTAGGCTAGGAGCGAGCAAGTTTAATGACTTGATTGAGTCAAGAGTAGGGCTGGGCGGCGGCCACGTGCTTCCACAGACCGATGCCACCGCAGGTCTACGGAACCCCATCGGAGGAACACATCCGAGCTCTGGCAGAATCCTTGGGCATCAAGCATTGCACCGGACATCCCGGGGACGTGGCCTGGCATCCCGGGGACGTGGCCACGAGACAACGGACTTCATTGAGGGGGCAGGGCCCGGCAGGAAGTAAAGGGACAGGGTTTCATGTGTGATTTTGAGGCTGCAGCATGGGTCATATTGAAGGAACATGAAGGAACTGCACGAGGGGGTGTTATATCATATATCTGTCGTTGCATTGATTGGATTGTTTGGCTGGGTGCCTGGGAGGCCAATAATAAGATTCTGCTGCAGCGACTCCATGCTTTCCATTGAACCCTACCATGCCCTACTACAGTGCACGATGTATCATAATATCCCTTAAGTAAATTGTGTGGATATGTCTAGATCGCTTGCCCCTTGGATTGGAGGTTGGCTGCCCCTGTCGGGGCGTGAACCTTCGACGAAACAAACGAGTCCAGAAACCTTCGAACGCAGTCGATCGTTCTTGTCCTAGTTGCGATGCGCTTTGCTCCGTTCGTAGCTTCTTGTTCCTAGTGATGTCAGGAGCTAGTGGTAGCGTCCTTGCGGACTGGACAGAGGAGCATCGACACGTGCGGATGGATCCCGAGATGGGGCTTGGCGTAGAAGCAACGGCGAAAGGATGAGTAGGATGAGTAGAGTCCATCTGCAAAATCGTTGATGTGTGTTTGGTTGGACGGTTCCAGCCTGGATTTAACCCCAGACCGAGTAGATCTGCTAAGTCTTGATGGAGGTCTTCTGAGGTGGTATATACTGAAATTGGTAGAGCCAGGCCAGCCTCTCAAAACTGCGTGCAATCTTAGGCATAAGCAGCATAAATATTAAGCACGCTAAGATCCAGGTTGGATGGTCCCACAACAAAATTCCATGACATGGAATGTTCAAGACCAACAGATGTTCATGAAAACCATTGAACACCCAAACCTTTTCCAGTCCGGTGTGTGTTCCTTTATTAAACATCGACGTGACACACAAATTGCAGATCACAAGTTCTACGCGTCCAGCGCTTTCGCCTCCAATTCGCTCCACTCAGGTTCTCCTCTTCGATTCCAATTTGCTCCACGCATCGAGCGGTGGGAACGACCGGGTGGCCGACGGGGTGGGCGGGCGACGGGACTGACATGCCCCGACATGCCCCAATGTCAGTATGTCATATTTTGCTCTACATTAGGATGGTTTCAGAGATCAATGTTTGCCATGTCACTGACATGGCTTTGAAGAAATCCCATTCGGAAGAGGACGGCTGTGACTGAGAGCTCATGAATCTGAAGGTCAAGAGTCACGTCCCATGAGTTCGGAGTGCAAGAAGGTAAGAATATTGAAAACATGCAATAATTAGACATGGAGATCACTATAGATCACTTGTTGTATGTATATTCTATTGTACTGTGCAATTAATATCAATCAATATTTATATAGTCATAATTGAAGGACCATCGTGCCTGGGTAGTTGTGTGTAACTCCCCGGATGCTGCCCCCTATGTCTTTAGGGGTTGTGGACCACGATGTTACAACTTGAGTTTGGCTCCACTTTTTGCCAATACTACACCAAGTGTCCCTCAATCCTCCAAAAAGAATGCTTGGGCTAAAGATCATCATTTGAGATGTGTGTAACCTCCAGGCTGGATATATGGACCACTGTACGCAGTCATCCCCCCAAAACGATTTCACCATTGTGCACCAGGCCATGAAGTTCTTGTTAAGCTGATGCACTGTCCAGGCAATCGCTCGCCTTTTCCGCGGCGGAACCTGTTCGTCGCCTTCAATGCGTGGAGCAATCGCCTACAAGCACCCTTTTATTCAGAGGAGTGACGCGTTTTCGATGGTTTCTTCCATCGGCATTTACCAAGCAGGGCCACAGCAGAGCCTGCCCGAAACCACACCACATGGCCAAAAGCTCCTGAGGTTGGGGAGTGAACTGTTTTTTGGGGGGACTATAGACTGCGAGAATCTCCAGGCAATCTTTTAGACGCACATCAACGGTGGCTGTCGAGGAGCAGCGCCCTGAGCATGTCGCGCACCGGGAACGAGTTCAGCGCTTCCAGCGCTGACCGGTTGAAGGCGAGGAAAAGGCCAAGGCAAGCGAGGTGCTCCGAAGAAGGCACGAGCATTTGTCCAAGCCACTGGTGGGACTACACCATCTAATTACAGTACACTCCGAGGAAATGGTCACATGGGAATGGAAAACCACCTGTGTGTAAAGGAATATGGTCGTCCAATGGCTCATTGTTTCAGGGAGTGCATACCAGTCTTTGCTATCTTTGCTCCAATATGTTCCAATGATATGTCCGAGAACTATGAGGTCTAGAAAGAAACTGACATCAAGGAGATCTGATTAGACCTGTTTGATCCTGTTTGTAAAGTCGGGAATTCTTTGTGGCCAAACCAGTTTCTTCTTGATGAGGATGCTCGAGAGCTAGATTTGTTGAGCTATTTAGGCCCGACTTCGACAAGTTTGGTTTGACCACGGCGTGATTGGGTTCTTTTCAACGACATAATTTCCATCAAGAGGCACCTCAGTGTGGTGTTGATGTCACCTCAGATCACAGAAAGTGTGCGACGACATGAATTGACAGCTGTTTTGTTCGCAGAGGGATTGGATATGATTGGATCATGCACAGCCAGAATTGGTTCAACAGCTGAATTGCTTCTTGGCCAGCTCCCACCTGTCCCAATTGTTGTTGTGCTTCAGATGTGTTTGGAAAGGCTTATCACTGAATATACTCCTTCCATCGTGCTAACCTCGACGGACACTGCCTATTTTAGAGCCTTGTTCTCACTTCATTGACTGCTTAATCAACATTTCAATTGAAAAATACGCTTCACGCTCAAACAGCCTCCTTTGGAGATTGCATTCCCCCACCGGGCACACCTGACATCGGCACATCACTCCTCCCACCGTGCGAGTGCGCCATGAGCACTCGCACCGCTGCTGTGCCTGACGACTTCCCCCACTTCGCCGCCTGGTGCGCCGCCCGTGTGCCTGGTGGTGTTGGGCAAACATGGCCTTCATGCTCAGCCGGAAAACATCCAGTGCCGGTCAGAACAAATCACCAAACTTGAGGCCCCAGTGGGTTCTGGACCATTTTGGAAGTGAATGGCATGGCAACACCTCGAAGACGAGTTTCGGAAGACGGTGCAATCAGGTTTTAGGTCCAGGTTTATTCGAGGGAGAAGGCGAACTCCCAAACAGGCCACTGAACAGGATGCAAATCGGGGACACCCCTTCTCGATGCTTGTGCACTTCAGAATCCGATTCCCAGTGCAAAACAAGGTTTAACATGAATTTCCCCATCGATGGAGATGGAGTCTGGCGTTGTTTGCTGCCATGTTGCAGATCCTAAAAGGTTGCATTTAGATGCATTTTGCACATAGTTGCACATTCGAAAACTATCAAAACGTTTGATTTTGTCCATGACCACCTTTCCTGTTGAAGAAACTTTGCTGGGGTGACAAGGGCTTGAGACCTAGCATTCGCATGGGCTTTGGACGCTCCTGCAGTCTTTCCCACCAAACCCTGCCAGGTACGGCCAAATTCCAGGCTTTGAGCATGCACGCGTGCGGAGCAAGGAGTGGTCAGTGATCAATGATGGGTGTTGGGGACCTTAACGAGGCAGCTCACCTCAGGTCCTCATGATGGGCACGTGAAGATCGTGAAGGTTCATGGGATTTCCAGGCTGCCTGGGGGTGGGTTTGTGAATTTGTTCACTTATATACTTGGGGGATACTCTCCTAACCCACCTAGGTATATACTATTTGTTCACTTACTTGTTCACTTAGGTTTGACCTTTTTGGGGGGGATACTTTCCTAATCAGGGGAAGCTGGGCGGTTGAGGCTCGATATGTGGTGTGCCGTTGAAGAACTTCCAGCTATAGATGTTCAACCTTTACTTGTGATTTATTGGTTAATCGATGCACCTCAATGAACGTGTGGGGTAAGACCTCATAAACAGGGCCGACCAATGACGGGTCTAAACTTTTCAGAACTGGACAGAAATCAGCCAGACTGTGGCAAGTTCCATGGTTTGGGTGGGAGAACATTGGAGAACATGGGCGGCTATAATATTTACCAACAGCTGTCACCCAGATGTGTGTGTCCATGTTCTACAGTTTTTTCAGAGTAGATGGCACAAACCCCTCCACGTCTTTTAGATGGGGGTCCACATAAATCACCTTCTAAAAATTGTGCCATCTACACTCCATCGCGTGGGACTTCCGCGGCCAGTGTGGCCACGCTTGAGGGGTCTTCGTCCGTCGGCTGCGAGAGGAGTTTCATTGTCGGGATCAAGTCTTTCACATGCGTCAGCTGGTGGATGCCAGGCCAGTCAGTGGACGACAGACCAGACCGTGCCAGATCGCCATTTTCGGCGAGGAGGGAGGAGATAGCCGGTCAGTGAATGGACGTCAATCTGTGTGTGCTGAATGTGTTGGTCATTTGTTTTTTTTGTTGTTGTTGAGCAGCGGCGTTGGTAGCTTGTACCATACCTGTTCGTCCAGGTGATTTCAACTCGATTCAGTCCGCGCGCCGGACCACCCCCCAAAGCTTCTTAACGAAAAGACAACAAGCGGTCATGCGAGACTGGCAAGACATGTACTGAATCGAAGGCTAAGCAGAACTTCTCTCCAACGTGTTTGTGCATAAAAAGTCCAATATCATCTGCATGTGTAAGAGCGGTCGTGTGTTTGAAAAGTCGCATCATATATATGTCTATATAGATCGTGCCGGTTGGCGTGTGCTGTTTGTGGGGGGTCATTTTTTTTGTGAGAATTCTCTGAAGCAATGTGTTCTAGTTATGAGACGAGACCTAACAAAGAAGTGAGCCCAGTGAGGGACCCAAGCAAGGAGGTAACTATGGGATTGTACGTAGGTCAGAAGCCCTTCCAACAGAGAGCATGTTTATGAATTGCCAAAAGTTTTCTGGCCTTGACCAGGGTCCCACCAAGGTCCCCTGGTAGATATGCAATGAACCAAATGATCATTAATTTTACCCTAATGATTAGAACAGAAGAGGCTTGCGCGAACTCTAGCTTTAGCAGGTTTTGTATGATCATAGTGATTTTGAGTGAAGAATATGACGATGATCCTCCTCAAATCAGAGGTGCAGGATGGACCGTGTACACCCCCTGACTTCCTGAGACCTCGATGGGCAAACTCCCAAGAACACCACTTGAGATTTGAGCCAAGAGTCTTGAGGGGGGGTGGATGTATTTGTTTGGATTCCCGTACAGAATAGGCCTTCCAAATGTCCTTGATCCAGACAAGTGCAATGCCGTCACGCATGTCTCGTTCAAACGGATTGCACTTGAATCATTTCTATGGCACGCTATACAGAAAACTACTGCAGGCTAAAGTTTGGTGGAACTCACAAAGATGGGTGATCATCTTCATGTGAGAGTCAGTCGTCCAAACACATAACATAATTTAGTAGCATGATGTAAAACAAGGATAGTAGGTAGTCCAAAACCTGCATAATGTTCGCGCCAGGCCGGCGCAAGGTTCTGCGCAAGGGCTACTTGCTAGTTACCAAATGTCTACGAAAACTGTTGTTACTAGCTTGTGCTTTGTGGAGTGAAACTGAAACTTGTGAGGTCTTAACTTTAACCGGTTTAAGACTTTAAGTATGCTTCAGAATCCTTCTTGTCTCCACAATACACGTCTTAAGCTAACTCCTTCGGAATGTGGCCAATACAGGATCAAGCAAGCTCCGCGCAAGCCCGAATGCGCGTCGAACGGGACTGGCTATGTCAACTTCTCTGAGCCAGCTGTTTCGGCCGTGTTGTATTTAAACTTCAATCCGCTTGTGATAGCGGTTTGCACATACACACACCCACGAAAACAGACAAACGAAAACTATCGAAAACTCAAGTGAACAGAAACTGTAGCTTTACTATGTTCGCGCAAGATTCCCCCAAGGCCGGCTTTCAGGATAGTCTTCGGGCAAAGGCATTTTGGACCCCCAAGACGTTCATTTCGCTGGGGACCAACTCCAACACCGAACCCGATGGTTGGACCGAACCGATGGCGCCATCTGCGTCCGCTGCATCGGCGTTTTTTACTACTAGCGTGGCACTTGTTCCTAGTAGCGTCCTTGTTACTACTAGTAAGGCACCTGTTACTACTAGCGTGGCACCTGCTACCACTGCATGGAATAGCTTTGGGATTCCTTAAGCTCCACTTGCTTGTTTGCTTTGTACAGTGATGATGATGTTCCAGGTCCCTCAGATTCTCAGAAGCTCCCTCAGATTTGCCGGAATCTTGAATTCTTTGCCTCAGGTATTACCTCAACTGGCACTATTCAGACTCAGTTCCTTGGTTTGGATGCCAAATGATGGTCCATATTCAAACAAATAGGTACCTCCTGATTCCTCATCCTAGCTTCTTGGACCTTGGGTGGGTGGCCCCATAATGTCGTCCTGAAGAGCATCGGCCACATGCACCCTCAAATACCTTGGCGGCTTTCAAACGGATCGAAACTGGTGCCAGTCTTGGTGGCGGTGGGCTTGAAGTGTTCTTCAGAGCGTCGCTTGGACGTAAACGGGTAAACATTTTCCCAACCAACCAAATGACTATCCTGCATGTTGGGTCAACGGGGGGGGTTAGCCCCGCCCGTAACATGTGGTCTGTTTTTTTCCGGTTTGGGGGGGGGGGGGGGGGGTGGGGTCAGTTTCATCCTGGTTACGACTCGCGTACATCGTCTACGTACTTCATTGGTCCACCCGGTTCTTCTAGGTTCGCTCGGTCACGATTCGTTCGCTGGACGACCCGCTTGTCTCGGCTTACAGGACATGACGGGTTCTACTTTGGAGGTTTGTTTGTGTTTGTCGTTGGTTCTGTTGTTGCGGTTGGTCGGTTTGAGGTGCCCTTCCCCCAATGAGCATTTGAAGGTTTTCTTTACGACCGACCCCTTTCTTTTGGACGCTCACATAGACGTTTGTACCCGTGCCTCAGATCCAACTATCTCTTTTGTGCAGGAGGTTGCATTGTTAAACTGTCGTTCTCGGTTACGGTTTGACCGTCTCCTCACTTTTCGTTTGGTTTTGTTTGATGTTTGGACTTCTCACTTTCATCGACACCATATGTCTTTTACACCTGTCATGTGGAGTGCATT